CACCCAAAGATTTTGAGGTGATTCACCTGTGGCCTCCTGTGGTGCCACGCATGTATCGGTGTCTTGTTCCGAACTGCTTTGGTTGGTGATCTGTTGAGGATGTAAATTGTTGTATTGACCGCTTCTGCCCACAAGTTGTTGGGAAGCTTCTTTGCTTTGAGCATACTTCTCGCCATCTCCACAATCGTGCGATTTTTCCGTTCTGCCACGCCATTTTGCTGTGGTGTGTAACAGACCGTCAGCTGCCTTTTTATCCCGTTGTTGCGGCAATACTCCATGAACGGAGTATAAATAAATTCTCCTCCACGATCTGTACGGAGAGTTTTGATTTGATGGCCGCTTTCCTTCTCAGCTACTGCTTGGAATTGAAGGAACTTGGGAAAAGCTTCTGACTTTTGCTCCAGAAAGAATACCCACATCATTCTGGTGAAGTCATCTACAAATAGTAGAAAGTATCTTTTGCCGCTGAGTGATTGTGTTCGGGTTGGACCGCATATGTCTGCATGTACCAACTCCAGTGGCGCTTTTGCTCTCCAAGATGTCTTTGGAAATGGTAAACGATGCATTTTGCCATATATGCATCCTTCACATATTTTATCTTCTCTGTTGATCTGGGGAAGTCCCGCCACCATATTTTTCTGCCTCAGCAATTTGAGGCCTCTGAAGTTGAGATGACCGTATCTGAGATGCCATAGGAAGGATTGATCCAGATTTTCACTCTTGCTACTTCACCATTTTGTGACATAGCAAGAGAGAAAATTCTGTTGGAAGTCATCGGGATTTTGGCCACCATGAAATTGTCTGCTTTGTTGATAATCTCGCACACGCCATTATCAAACAATAGCTTGTAATTTTTCAGCATCAGTTGTCCCACGCTAAGTAGATTGAGAGTTAGATCCGGAACATACAAAACATCTCGAATGAGAGTTTTGTTGCCTTCTTCTGTGCATACAACAACTGTGCCTTTTCCTTCCACTTTTAGCTTCTTCCCGTCTCCCAATTTGACTTGAGAGCGGTATTTGTCATCGATGTCGGTGAAGGACTCCAGATCTCCAGTCATGTGGTTACTGCAACCACTATCCACCATCCAGGGAAGCTGTGATTTTTGCTCACCATACAAGCATGACAAGGCCACCATATTGCTTTCTTCATTTTTGGTGCCGCTTGACTCGCCATCTTCTTGCTTGTTCTGGAACCAACAATCTCTCTGGGAGTGGTTCTGAATTCTGCACTTGGTGCACTTGAATCTGCAGTCTTTTGTTGCATGACCCGCCTTTTTGCAAATTATGCAACTCGAGCCGGTGTAGCCCAATCTTTGTTGTTGATAATTTTGTCTGTTGTTTCCTCTGTAATTGGATCTTCCTCTTCCTCTTCCTTGTGAGTTTCCCCCTCTCTGGCCTTGCTCCGATTTGGCATATTTACTTTCCGTCATGTTGACTTTTGACGTGAAAGCTTGCTCCAATGGCGGTTTGGTGAATCGGCTCATTCTTTGCTCATGTGCTACAAGTGAGCCCATCAACTCGCTCATTGATAAATTTGCCAAATCTTTGGTTTCTTCAATGACAGCAACAATATGCTCGAACTTTGATGATAAGCTCCGGAGAATTCTCTCCACGACCTTCCTCTCTTCCATGACGTCACCGGTGGCTTTGATCTGGTTGACTGTCTCCGCCACACGTGAATGGAAGTCTTTAATGGTGTCGGTTTCCTTCATCATCAAGTTGTCGAACTGTCGCCATAAACTTTGGCGCCTGATAGAGATTGCCTTTTCAGAACCTTGAAATTGTTCACGCAAGACATCCCAAGCTTCTTTCGCCTTTTTGATGCCATAGATTCTTGGGTAAATAGATTTGCTCACTGCTTGCTGAATGATTCTCAAGGCGCTGGCATTTTGCTTGGCATTCTCCTTGTACTCCTTTGTCTGCTTGCCTGCTCGTTTCTTCGAGTCTTCATCCTCGTCTTGTGGATCTTCGTAGCCTTCTTGGACGATATCCCACAGATCTTGAGAGATAAAAATTGGCTCCATTTGGGCACTCCAGTACTCGTACAATTCTCCATCGAAAATGGGAATTTGATTTGAGGAGGTAGCAAACATGGTGTTTGATGAAGTTGTTGTCATGACTTTTTTAGAAGATTTGGGTAGGATAGAAAAATGGGGATTTAAGAGGATAGAAGGGTATTAAGCTCTGATACCAAATTTGTTGGGTATTAGCGGAAGTAATGGTAATTTTGGATCAAGACAAAGGAAACATTTGGTGTTTAATCACTCATTTTTAGAAAACACTCAAATAAACAATGCCTTACACTTTTGGCTATTGTTTTAATTACACAAGAGTAAAGAACTTGCATACATCGCACACACTTTGTGCTTTCTTTCTTTCTTTCTTTTGTTTCTGTTACACACTCTACACAACCCATACTTACAACACATATATATATATATATATATATATATAATTGTAAATGCAAGAACCAATCACCCATCACATACTCTTCAATTCTCCAGCAACGTGAATAACAAACTAACATGGTCTTTAATATATGTATGTCCCATGCATTACTTCTCTTGTCTCCTTTGCATTTGCTGTACGTGATAATTGAATCCTATTATTTGGTTGCTGGAGCTTCATATCACCTCATCTATTTGTGAACACCTCATGTTCCATAGGTCATTCACATTTATCATAAGAGACAATAATAATTAATCCATTGTTGATAATGTTGAGGCCTACCATGTGTAGTGTTTAGTGATAGGTTGATTGCAAATTACCATTCAACAGATTATGGCTAAGGGTTATAGTTAAGAGGAAGGTGTGGATTATTAGGACACTTTTTCTCATGTAGTTAAGTTAACCGTCCGATTGTTCATAACTCTTGCTGCTACAATGAATTGGTACATTCATCAACTTGACATCAACAATGCTTTTCTCCATGTAGACTTGCAAGAAGAAGTTTATATGAATTTACCTCAAGGGCTGACTCCTGCTAACATACCAAATTCTGTGTGCAAACTTTACAAGTCTCTTTATGGTCTCAAACAAGTTTCTCTGAAGTGGTTCTCAAAGTTATGAGACTCTTTGCTCACTCAAGGCTATACTTCTTGTAGTTGTAGAGTTGATCACTCTCTTTTCACCAAGATCACTAGTCCTCTTTCATTGTTGTTCTTATCTATGTTGATGATTTAATCGTGGGAGGAATGATATGGTTATGACTAACTGGCTAGAACATTTTCTTCATAGCACTTTTAGCATAAAGGATCTTTGCATCCTCAAATTCTTCTTGGGAGTTGAAGTTTCAAGAATTCCTAAAGGGATTCACATTTCACAAAGGAAGGATACTCTGAAAAGAGTTTATGATGCAGGTTTCTTGGAAAGAAAACTCGTCACCACTCTTATGGACTACAACTGATTCTAAGTGCATCAGATGAAGCTGCACTTGTTGATCCTCCTAAGTGTCAGAAGCTAGTTAGAAAAATTATCTACTTGACAAACGCGACCTTATATAAGCTTTGCAACATAACAAGTAAGTAAATTTATGGGGATTTTTTCAGAAATAGCACAGTTTAAAAAAATTCCAAAAATAGCACCCAATTCTGAAAAAATCCAAAAAAACATCCTTTCCCAAAAATGGCCACCTGGGGGCGCGTTTTTCGATGAAAATCGCACTGGTAGGTGGCGGTTTTGCAAACTGCACCCCCCACCATGCGGTTTGTTTGCAGACCGCAACCCCACCATGCGGTCTATTTATTATTATTATTATTTTTTTTGAAAAATCCTAACCTAGGTGGAAACTTCAAACGGACATATCTTTGTGTTCGGGTATCCGATCGTCGCAATTTTTTTTTGATTCTGCATAACTTTCTGAGAGCTTGCAAGCCGAAGAGTGTCAAAGGTGGTTTGGTCTCGCCTTCGTCCCAAAAAATGTCGTTTGCTACCCCGAACGAGCTTATTTCCGATTTCGTCAAACTTTGGACAACCATAACTTTGTACTCCAAAATCCAAACGACATTAATTTTTTTTATTTCGCATAACTTTTTAAGGACTACAATTTTTACTAGGAATGAATTTTCAAAACAGGAATTTTTACTAGGAATGTATTACTTGGAGATTCACTCATTTCATGGAAAGTCCAATAAGAAATCAAGAATGTCTCGATCTTCATGTGAAGCTAAATATCGAGCATTAGCATATACAACTTGTGAGGTTCAGTGACTTTTCTATTTCCTTCAAGACTTTTAGGTTCATCATCCCAAACCAGTATCACTCTATTGTGACAGCCAATCTGCAATCTACATTATAGAAAATGCAAGTTTCTACTAAAGGAACTATGAAGTTGTTAGTTTTCGAACAAGTCATTAAATCGCAGACAACCTTACCAAAGCATTGCCACCCGGACTATTTTCGTATATTCTCTCCAAACTAGGTGTGTAGAGCATGAGCTCACCAGCTTGTGGGAGGGGTAACAAAAGAAGTATTTTCTTTTGCTTCTAAGTATGGCAATGGAGACTTGAAACAAAGACCAGCACAAGGAAGACTAGTTAGTGGAATGGCATCGTGAAGACAATGGATAGGATATGTGGCATTTTCTTATTCGTGATGTTGTAACCGTTTTGTGCATTTTTCTTTTCTTGCTTTGTACGAGCTCCCGCTACCGGGGACGACAGTAACCCAGCTGTTGTAAACCTAGGGCCTCTTTATAGATTTTACACTAAAGGAGGAGAAGAACAACACACCTTTCTCACTTTGTGAAATTAAAGCACTATAACGGCAAAAATTAAAGCACCAATACTCTATATCATTGTAAAATTTCTCTTAAATCATTTCTTAATAGTCACCACTGCTACGGGGACTGTTACTTCTATATGTTTCCATCATTCCTTCGTAGAACAGTCGCAAAACGGCCACTTCTCTTTGTAACATCTTCTGCACATTCAGTTCACTGCCAAATAATTTTGTGAAGGATTACTATAGTATCTGGGTGTCGAAATCGTTGCCTATATAGTTCATAAACACAATTTAATCAAGCAAATATAACACTAAATGGATCCATCACTCCTCAAAATGGGCTATATCTAGCATAAACAAAGCTCAGCTAGTAAGAAAGCATTAACATTCAAATAAATGCGACGGCAGACAAGTTCATTGTGCTTCAATCTTTTCCACTTGTCCAGGTCGATGATTCAACTACAACCAAGTTGAGAAAAGCCTAAACCAGACAACAAAATTAGGTATCCTATAGTAAATCACATGGACCAAAACTCCATAACCAGAAACAAACTCCTCATCGAGCACCCAAAAAAAACGTTGAAGCCGCAATAAGCCTAGTAAAAGAAACCAAGCACTTTGCCGCCAACATTCTTCCGCCTTGCCTCCTCGTGGTCCATAATTCCAGCAGAAGTTGTCAGCACAATGAATCCAAACTGCAAAATCACATATGAACATGAATTATGAATATAGGTCACCATACTTACAACAACAACAACTAAGCTACTAGTAGTTTGACAACTCTTCAAGATCGTAAATAAACATTTGTTTTAACCCCATTAGACGACTCATACAACCAGCAAGGAAACCACTGCAAATTCTGGATTTACTATCTACCACATTTCATTAAAAAGCAAGACATTGAACCCACCTGTCTAGACGGAAGCAACCTAGCAGTCCAACCTTCAATCTCCTTGACACCGACGTCAAATCTAGGACTGATGACACCACACTTGTTTAGCCTCCCATTCAACTCAACAACAATTTTACCAGCCCTGTGATCATCAACATATTCAAATTCACCAATGTATCCTGCATACAACAAATGAAGATATTAAAGATTAAGTGATTAAGGCGGATCGAGTATAAAGGATGAGAACAGCCAGACCCATACCATGCTTTTGCATGACAATAAGAAACTTTATGATCACTTTTGAGGATGGTCGGATCATGACCTGGCGCTTTCCACGCTTCTCTGCATTGTACATGCTCTTGAGAGCATCGTTCAAAACACTAACTCTCACCATTGGAGCTGGCAGAGAAATATCAAAAGCTAAGTGTTAAATACTATCCAGAAGGCTTAGACCCAAATTCGCACAGCAACAACACAGATGGTAGAATATAGAAACCAAAAACAATTGGAAATTAACACTCGCCCACTACTCTCATCTACCATATCGAAACAATAAACACATAGAAAGGTGAACTATTTTTGATAATTGAGCGATTGAGGATTCGAAATTGGTAGTAAGGTTAGAGAATAATCTATCGATCTGGCTTTGATTCAGTCATAGAAACAGCTATTCGTATAAGGAACAAGACAACCCCGACCTTTAACTATACAAACATTAATGGGTGCTCATCATTTCCAACATCGGAGACCCAACGAACCTAGCTAAAAAGAATTCAGAGTCTGCCGAGAACGGAAATCAAACAGAGCCAATGAAGAGAACATTGCATAAATGAAAATCACAGAATCTCTATACAAGAGTACAAGGGCAGTCACAAGGATCAAATGGAGCAAAATCGAGCTCAGCGATTTTATAAATCTCGTTTCCAGTTTGTACGCACCTCAACCGACGATGTAGAGAGATCTGGCGCCACCAACGAGTGAGCAAGGGAAAGTTAGGGTTTTGCGAGAGGATGGACGGGAAGAAGACCTTCAGTTTATATAGTACTGGATCCATGGATGTTATAGTAGGTCTGTTCGGGCCAGCATTAATGGGCTCTACAAATGTTATGTACTGCTATTTTGTATTGCAGCCCGAGAGCAGGCCCATAAATCGCAACTTCTGTAGATAGAATGGAAAAAGGGTTCGGGTGGGGTCGATTTTCATTAGGGATGGCAATGGGTCGGGTTGGGTCGGGTTTTGCCAAACCCAAACCCAAACCTGTGGGTTTATCCGTGAAAAAAACCCGGGGTAAAACTCACTGGGTTTGAAAAACTCAAACCCAACCCAACCCGCTGGGTATCCGCAGGTTCATGGGTACCCACGGGTTTTTGTCGTAAAAAATTTACTATAACAAGTTCTTATCAAAATTAAAGTCAAATATCAATCTCTCAATACAAATTATCCATATATAAAACACTATTCTAGAAAATACAAGCAAATCACAAATTAACTATACAAATTGTTCAACACCAATCTAGAAAACTCAAGAAAATTGAAGCAAATCACAAATTATCATTAAATAACATGATTAATTGAAAGCTTCTTCCTTTCAATTAAGTTTCTTCGCTCTCCACTCGATAACATCAACTTCATTCTACACAATTAGAAAGAAAAAAAATTAGACATGTCTCCACAAACATAAATAAGATTAGTTGTTTAGAATATTAAATATACCAAGAAAATTATTATATGGGTGTGGGCGGGTACCCATGGGTCGGGTTTACCTAAACCCAAACCCAACCCGGTGAATAGTGAACGAGTTTAAACCCTAACCCGGCCCAAAACCCGTCAACACGGATTTTACCAGCGTTGACCGGGTTGGGTCGGGTGGGTACCCGTGGGTTCGGATTTTGTTGCCATCCCTAATTTTCATATATATAATTGTTGAATAACGTTTTTAAAATAGTATTCATTTTCATGCTCAAACTGTAAGGAGATGTAATATGTTATATAGAAGAAAAAAATAACTCTCTGAAAATGTTTACAATGCGGCCACCGGTGGAAGGCCTCTCACCGTAGCCACCCGATTCCTCATCCGAAACATCCTTAATCCAGCAGAATAAGAAACTAAAATCATTTTCGGAAGAAGTTTTCACTGGCTCTAGCCCATGAATCTAGAAACAGAGACTCTCGCTGCCGTGTAGCTATTGGTAGAGGGAGCCCCAACAATCACAACGAAGCCTTCGTACAGCGAATCGGTCTCCGGCATCAAACCACCAGGGAATATCCATCACTCTACAAGACCTGATGCTTGACGAATGCGACACTGAGGATGTTGAAGATGACCCTGAATGCCCAACAATTTGTGTCAAACGATCAAAAGAGAGCATGATCCAGAGTCGATGGGGCAACGCCCTGATCTGTAATATCTTGGGTAGATACTATCCCTTCCCAATCTCGATGAAGAAAATTGAAATCATGTGTCAAGGAAGGGGGGTTTCGGTGTTGCGGATCTGGGCGTTGGTTTTTTCTCAGTTCGTTTTGGAGTTGCTGAAGATTATGATCGTGCTTTATTTTGTGGTCTCTGGATCGTCGACGACCATTACATTATGACCACTGAATGACGCCTTTATTTTGACCCAAACTATGATACTATCGACTACATGAAAGTTAGAGTCAGACTGACAAGACTTTCGATGGGCTATTTCGATATAGAAATCCTAATGGACATTGGGAGTAAGATTGGACGTGTAGTGAAGATTGACTATAACAGTTTGAACTGTACCAGAGGAAACTACGCATGTATCTCTGTTGAGCTTGACCTCAACAAGCGTCTCGTATCCAATTACCGCCTCAAGCGCAGGGTTCAAAGAATTGCATACGAAGGCCTCCATGTCATTTGCTTCGAGTGTGGTTGCTGAAATCTCAGGTAATTCTTGATATTATTATGATTCTCAATACATCAATTTATACTCAGAGGTTGCTGATCGTGTGAAACTGAAATGGAGAGATTATAGGAAGAGTTGGAGAAAGACGTTTGAAACAGAAATTGGTTGCAACAGATGGGGCTGAAGACTCGGGGTGCCTTATCACGCCCCCGCAAGTTGAGGGTCGATGACCTTCAACTTGGCCTTGAAGTGAAGGAAGCGTTGTCGGGGTAGTGGTTTTGTAAGTAGATCCACAGTCTGGTCATCCGTCGAAATGTACCGAACAAGTAATTAACCAGCAGCAACCCTCTCACGAACAAAATGGAAGTCAATTTCCATGTGTTTGCTACGAGAGTGGAACACGGGATTTGCAGTGAGGTAGGTGGCGCCGAGGTTGTCGCACCAAATTCGTGGTGGGGAGGGTAGTGTGATACCAATTTCATGCAGCAAAGATTGTATCCAGATGATTTCGGCAGCAAGTGTGGCTAGGGCCTTGTATTCGACCTCAGTGGAGGAACGAGCTACTGTTTGTTGCTTTCGAGAGGACCATGAGATGAGATTAGAGCCAAGGTAGACTGCATAACCGGTGGTGGAGCGACGATCAGTGACAAAGTTGGCCCAAGCAGCATCACAGTAACCGGAGAGCTGTGGTGAATTGAAGATATTGCAGAGCACTGACAATCTGGCAGTATAGAGTGCCATCTTGAAGTGGAGTAATGTCTGGTGTGGAAGGAGACACGACAGATGGTGTGGAGAGAGCATGAGCATTCGCCATGTTCGCACGCTAGAGTATGTCATTAAGGTATTTGCGTTGGGAGAGGAGTAAATCCTTTTGTGTCCAGATTGCTTCAATGCCGAGGAAGAATGAGAGTTGACCCATGTCCCGAACTACAAAGAGGCGCTGTAGGTAGGCAAATAAGTCATGCAAAGCTGCTGGTTGGTTTCCTGTGATTAAGATGTCATCAACGTAAACTAACACATAAATACGAAGTGAGCCTCGAACAAGGATGAACAAGGAAGGATCCGTGTGGGAGCCTCGAAAGCCGTAACACTCGAGAGATCGCCGGAGACAGTGAAACCAAGCTCGAGGAGCTTGCTTGAGGCCGTAGAGGGATTTCTTCAAGCGACAGACGTGATGTGGGCTAGTGGGATCAACAAATCCAGGGGGTTGCCGCATAAAAACTGTATCTTCTAGGTCGCCGTGGAGGAAGGCGTTGGCGATATCCAGTTGACGGATGGGCCAACAGTGAGCAACTGCGAGGGAGAGGATGAGCCGGAGCGTGGTGGGTTTGAGAACCGGGCTGAAAGTATCGTGGAAGTCGATACCCGGCTGCTGTTGAAAGCCGTGGGCAACAAATCTGGCTTTGTAGCGATCGATTTTGCCATCGGACTTGGTCTTGATGCGGAACAACCATTTACAGGATAAAACATTGAGCTCAGGGGAGGGCGGTACCAATTCCCATGTCTGATTCTTTAGCAACGCATTGTACTCTTCCTTCATTGCGAGCCGCCATAACGGATTGAGAAGTGCTTGTCGAGGCGTGGTCGGTAGGGGAGGGAGGGTTGATGTATGGTGGGAGATGAACGTTTTGGGTTTGAGGTTCCCAGTTTTGGTGCGAGTAAGCATGGGATGGGGCTGTGGAGTAGGACGATGACAGTGAGCTTGGAGATTGGGAGGAGGGGGAGGATGACGGAGATTCTGGGTACGGGGTTTGGTAATTGTGGGTAAGGGAAAAGTGGGGTGGATATTGGAGCGAGGAGTAATTTTGTGAAGGGAGGAAGTGGTGGGCCGGGCGAAGTTGGGGATGGGAGAATGAGGATGGGGTGGGCGAGTGGCGGATGGGCCAGAGGGTGGATGGGGAATGTGGGCCGTAGGTGGGGTATGTGGGATGAGTTGGGGGTTATTTGGTCGTGGGTGGGAAGATGGGCTATGGAGCAGTGGGGGTGAGGTGCTGGGATGGGTAAATAAATGGGAAAAGAAGCTGGGGTGGAATTAGTGGAAATGGTAGGGAAGGGAGACACAGGTGGGCTATTTTTAAAGGGGAAACATGTTTCGTCAAATAAGACATGACGTGAGATATGGATTTTATGTGTGGAGAGATTATAACAACGATATCCTTTATGAGTGGAGCTGTAACCGAGGAACACACATGGAGAAGAACGGGGTTGGAGTTTATGACGAGTAAGAGGACGCAACCATGGATAGCAGAGACAACCAAAGATACGGAGAGTGGAGTAGTGACTCACTTCTACTGTCACTCCAGGAATTGGCCAAGTGAAATCACTTCCTAAAGCGTAGTATAGCGGGTTTGGGTTTAAATGTCAACCCGGGTCCTAGATTTGATGACTACTCGGTGAATTCTTGTTATCTAGCAATGAAACTTTAATGCAAGTCTAAACTAACAAACTAACAAAGCAAGTAAATTGTTGTATTCAGGTTAAGAGAGGTCACCCGGATATGGTTCCCCCTAGACTGCAGTTAAGCCGGATTGTAATTACCAAGTTCAGTTTCTATGATAGTTATACTGCGGAAGGTTCTTAAACAACCTGAAGTCTCGACTAAAGGTCTTCAGACCCTCTCAATCTGAGTCTCCAGCGGGCGACTAACCTCCACCGGAGTAAACAGATTGAGGCCTTAACAAACAAAACCTCCACTACCGGAGTAAATCCGGTACAGAATAGTGAGTTGGCTCCTCGACTAAATTCACCAACTCCCTACCTTCAATCAAGGATGCTCTATCAACCTAGGCAGATATTCTCATTCTAGGTTAAAGCAGAAACAACAGGAATTTGATCAGGATTCATGCCATTCAATCAATCAAACCTCAGTTGAATATAATCAAATCATAGAATCAGTACTTGGGTTCATACAATCAAACCTAACATACAAATCTAGGGTTCTCCATACCCATATGAATAGGAGAACTACTCCATGGAGAAAGAAGCTAAAGCAGAATAAGACGCGGAATTCATACTGTGAAGGATGGATTCCTGCTCCTGGACGTTGATCGACACTTCTCCAAACTCAAACTGGCCTCCAATGGTGATAAAGATCAAGCTAGGGCACTTGGAGACTCTTGTTCGTCGCTTTCTCTCTCTAG